GAGCTGATTCTGATCAAAATTGGATTATGGATTTTTAAAAACTTGTTGAAAATCAATTTAATATGGTACAAGATGGCAGAATAGTTGACATTCGCAAAAATTAATTCCGCGAACTTCTGGATATGTGTCATTTGCAAAAATTATTATCTACCAAAAAACCACAATACAGTATTTAGCTCATTCGTATGCTTTGTGGGAAACCCTTAGTACAGGACATGTATCTCTTACCTTCTTTAATGGAGGTGGAGTACTCGGAACTACACCAGAACAATCAAACTCTTTATCATCATCAAACTCTGATGGCACTGGTTCTAATGATCTCCTATTACTTGAGCCTGTAAATGATTCCAAATTAGCTTAATAGAATAAGCACTCCTGGTTTATTACATTACCTTTGTATTGAGAATTGTTAGAGATATTAACCAATGGTTTAAATGCAGGTGTTTCTCTATCTGCTGTTAATATTTCCTTTTCATCATCCAGTAGTAAAGAATCCATTGCATGACTAGTGGTAGCATACGATAGCTGATGAGGTTCATTCTGATGAGATCTTAAATCAGTTTCATTAGTTCCAGCAACACAAGTTCTTTCCAAATCTTTTAGTGGTACATAAATTTGTGATACATTGTCTGGTATATAGGGACTATCATCATGATTTAATGTCTGATGAACTGATGTTGCTTCAATAGTAGCCGAGATATTTGTTTCTTGCTGTGTTGGTTCTTCCTCTTGATTATCCATTAATGATGCTAATACAACATCAGCAGTATACTGAGGGTTATCATCAATACTGAAAACTACAGGACTAACAAAAGTACTAATCATCAATCAGTAATGGTTATCCATTGACAAAAAATGAAACACTTAGTTGTAGCTTTAAGAGCACATGCATTAATTAAAAAAAAGCAGAAAATGCTAGCTACATGTATGTAACAGCTGTAATTCCTTGATAAATGCAATTCTTGTCTTATACAATTTTAAACTCATTACCACCAGTCATTTCAATGCCTGTGACAAAACCAAGCAATACTCTCAAACATTCAAATATACATGTATGTATGTGGTAGCATTGACATGAAAAATAAAAAAAATATAATAAGCAGAAAGCAAACCTGCCACATGAATTGAAATTAATGTTCAAGCAATCGTCCAATGAGTCAGTAAATGCTAGTAATGCCTGTCCAAGAAAAAGGATTAACAATACATACATGTACATGCACATTATAAGTGTAGTTTATGCACATTTTTGTTAAATTAGATATTGCACATTTACACATGTACATGTACATACAGGAAATGTGTTGATCTGATGTACATGTAGTATAGAGTACGCTGTATGTACATGTACATGTACATGTATAAATACAGGTACAGTATGAGCAAGAGTACATGTATCTTACTCTCAATTCTTTGAGACAAAAAGTGACAGATGTTTCTTTTGAAATTTCAAACGAGTCAAATTCTTCCGACAACAAATAAATTTCGGTTGAAATGGATCGACTATCTAGAAGGAAAAAAAGACACATGTGTGACAAATATCAAAAAGATATTAATGGCAGTGCCAATATTTGTTTGGCAGAAGCAGGCACAAACATTTTAAAAATTTGGCAAGTAAACCTGTAAACAATTAAATAATAGTCCAATTATTACATTCATTAGAGAGGCATTAAAGCAAATGTTAATAAATGAGAAAAATTATTTTAAAAGCTCAAATAATTATAATTGTTATCAAACATATCATACTACAAGTATACACCATATGGCGGGTTATTTTTGAGGATAACAAATTTCACGAATTTCGGGAATTTTTCAAGATTGGCGGAATTAAATTCCTTGAAAATCAATTTAATATGGTACAAGATGGCAGAATAGTGAAAGTTTGCGAAAATTAATCCTGCGAACTTCCGGATACAGGTCATTCGCAAAATTTATTATCCTCAAAATAAACCCGCTATACAGTACATCAGAAAAGGAAATAAAAGGGGAAATTCTCTCCTAGTCAATTTTGCCACAAAAAGTGTCTTCAGCCCAATTTTTTAGCTTGAAAAATTCATAAAAATTCAGTTTGATTAAAATAAACTCAAACTTGCTACACAACACAAGAAAGTGTACAAGTATCGGAAAATATTATTTAAAAATGGAGAATTCTTTACTTACCATTTTGGTGAACTTTGGCCCAAGGCCCTGTACTGTACAGGGTCTTTGACCAGATTTTGGAGCAACTTTTAAAATTTATAAAAAATTCAATTTTGATTGGAATCGACTCAAACTTTCTACACAATATACAAGTAAGTACATGCATATGCATCAGAAAATGTAATAAATTCTTACATAGACAAAGTAAATTTTGCCAAATTTGGCTAAAAATTCATAAAAAATCCCCTTTTGATTGGAATCAGCTTAAACTTTCTACACAACATACATGTAAGTACATGTACATAACAGCATCAGAAAATGCAATAAAATTACCTCCAAAATCTTCATTATAGTTCTTTAACTGTATCTTGTCATTCATAGCAACAAGAGTTACTTCGTCTTGACTATTGGGAAAGTTGACAACCACTTCACTCAACGAGCTATTAAGATTGAAATTTATGATAATTACCCAGAAAATACAAAAGTTATGTATAATATTATTTTGGCATCTATCTTTTATACATGTACATGCACATGTGTATATGTAAACAGTTTCCATTAAAAATTTTCTGGGGATATTAAATCTAGAGTATAGTCGGTTTCATTTGAGTTGCCACAGGAAGTAAATCAATGTTTGCATCATAAAACGTCATTCCTAGCCACACCCAAAAATGGTGGCAGAGTGCAAGTAAACTCTTTCATAGAGCGTTTCTTCACCTCTAAGACCTTTTATTGTCTGTTTTATCCTTGCTTTGGATACCACTACCTTTAGTTATCACTGGCTAGACCTTCTTTCTGTTGTAAAACTGACAAAGACCTCGGATACGGAAGATAGCAACCTAGGTGCTAGCCGGGTTGAGTCTAATGAAGAATAACGGCGATCAAGAAGGCTGCAGACAGGTATAGCAGCTGTTTTCCAGTAGTATAGACTGCTAGTTGAATGCCTGCTTCTTTAGAGGACCTTATCTGTCTGTTTTTATTTTATAAAATAAAAAACATTAATTTTGTTAAAATAATAATGAGATGCAAATGATATTCAAGAGTGTGATGTAAGCTTGAACGTAATGATTCATCATGGCGGCCCCTTTGAACTAGAGCGGAAGAACCCATTCAGAATCTTCCAGAGTACCTAGAGACTCAAAAATTGCTACAGATTTTCGGAAGAACCCGTTATGCAACTATACTAAGTTTCAGGTTGCTAGCATTAGTAATAAAAAAGTTATAAGGGGTGGTGCTTGGGCAACTCAACTGAAACCGACTATACATGTATATAATAATAGTAAATTTCAGTATTTAAATAGCAAAGCAAAATTAATATCCAAAACAATAATGCAAAATCTAATAAATCTGTAATGCATATACCTTGATACTCCACCCAAATGATTAAAACAGTTTTCCTTGTTATAAACAGCTTTTAGCATTTCACAGTCATTGTAATTAATTCTATGCCGTTTTGTAATGCCTACAGTATATAAAAATCAACTATTTTATTTAAATTTCCCACACAATAATTATTAAATGATCAAAAACACTAGATTAAATTTTAAATATTCATACCATGTTTACAAAGGAATATAACTGCTATTGTGGATGAGTCTGAATCAATTGATATCTGACACTGATTGACAGTCTTTTCCAATGAAGACAATGCTCGGAATATTAACAAAAGACACTAAAAGTAAAATAAATAAAAACAATAAATAAAAACAATAAAAACAATCAACGATGCTCATGTTGATTACGGACCTTTGATAACACCTTGCAACAAAAAATGCTACCCTCTCCATTTAAGACAGAGCTGTCTGCTCCAATTCTATAAGAATCAAAAAAGCTTTTCTTGAATTCAAAGCAAGCATATGCTGATCTTGCAGAGTTGACTGTCTTGAAAGAAAGCTACAAGTACAATGTACAACAGAAACGGTTAAATGATATAGAATTTTATACTTAAAACACATCTTTTATTTAATTATCATGTACATGTAAGTACAATCTCTCTAAACAAAAAATGATACAATAAAGCACTCAAGAATATATACAGTATAGCTAATACAGGCAATTAGATGCATGTGCAGGGTTTCCCAAGGGATTTTGGCATACTACCACATGTATAGTACAGCTAGGGTATTTAAACAAAAATCAAAAGGAGAGAATTTTCCATTTTAATATATTTTTCTGATGCAAATACATATACTTATGTTGTGTAAAAAGTTTCAGCTGGTTTCGATCAAAATTTGATTTTTTATGAATTTTTAAAGTTGCTCAAAAATTGGGCCAAACACCCTGTACTATAGTACAGTGACTTTGGCCAATTTTCATCAAAAATGACTAGGAGAAAATTCTCAATTTTTATAATTTTTTCCGATACAAATACATGTACTTATATTGCATAGAAAGCTTGAGCTGATTCTGATCAAAATTAGATTTTTAATGAATTTTTAAAGTTGCTCAAAAATTGGGTCAAACACCTGTACTATAGCACAGTGGCCCAATTTCATCAAAAAATGACTAGACAAAAATTTTCCATTTTTTATAATTTTTTTCTGATACACATACTTAGGTGGCGTAGAAATTCTGAGCTGATTCCAATCAAAGTTAGATTGTCTATAAATTTTTCAAGTTGCTGCATGCTTTGTGGTATGTATGTGATTACGTGTATGCTCCAACTGACTAATTTTCTACTACAATGGAATTGCTTACTCCATGTTTTCTCGTTTCAATGAAGATTTCTTCTCCAATTTTGCAGAGACAATGAATTGCTTTTCCAAAAGCTAAAATATAATTTAAAAAATTACATATTATAACACACTGCATGAGACACAGAGTGATGTGCATAAATATGGTCAGTGTTATTCCTGTGCAATAAATTTTTGAAACAATACAGAGCCTGATTCAATTACATGTATATATAATTCATTCAGACAAACTGAGGCCATAACAATTTTTTTCTTACCATGTATACCAGTATCAGGAATAAAACACTTCATCATTTGGAGGCCTGCCACAGGATTCCGACCTTTCAAACAGAGTGAGAAAAGCAAAGATGATGTCCTGCATTTTCAGACATTTTGTATCAAATTTAACCCATTCAAATCCAGCCCCACCTCCTTTTTAGCAAAAATGGCCTCAAAATGGAAGGAGGTGAGAAATGATCTGGAGAAAAGCATAGAGCTTAAGAGGTTTGTTGAGCACATCACGCTTGCTATTAGAGAACAATTGGACTCGTCTAATGCTACTGGCGAGAGCTTATCTAAGCTTATTGAGGAGAAAATACAAGAAACACTAACTGGAGGAGAGGTTGTGTACACTGCACTGCAGGATAAAGTAGCTCATGAAGTTAAGTCACACTTCTTAGACGGCAAAACTTCCAAGAAAGATGCAATACTTCAAACTGCTGCTGACATGCTTGTGGAGAATCCTTCACTAAGATCTATGTTAACTGTGTTTGTAAACACCCCACTACACGTACCACTGAGAAAAGCATTGTGGAGTATTATATTAAAAGATCAGACTTCAAGAGAGCAGTTTTTGATGATCAATGAAGGAATGGAAAGAAAGAAATCGTTATTTGATCCTGAGCTGTTGTCAAGATGTGCTAGTATTCTGGAAGGGAAATGCTTAGCAGAGTTTTCGAAACACAAGCAGTTGTCATATGAGTATTGTGCTATTTTAAGTTTTTGGAAGGATAAGTCAAAAGCTGAACTGACCACAGCAACCTGCTTGCTCTGTCTTCCATTTCTCAATTTATTCAAAGATGAACTTCGCCAATCATCTAAGGAAGTTAATTGGCCAATAGTCGCTGCTGTTGCAGAAATGTTCACATCTTACATGCGAATATTGCCGCTAAACATGAGGAATGTTAGGCAGAGCTCTCAGGTCAGTGGGAATCTAATTAAATCACTTATCTCAGTTGCATTATTGTCTTTCATTATTTAGTCATTGCGAGCTCTTGAAGCATTGTGCAAGGAAGTAGAAGGCGACTTGGATCCTATACTGGTTAATCATCTGAGGGAGATTTTTGTATCTCGATCTGGCAAAAATACAAAAGAGGCTTTTCACTATCATCTTAGTATTCTTCTTCATGAGTTTCTGCAGAGAATGTTCATTGGTTAGGATGACCATGCAATGTACCGTGTAACTGTTAGAGTAACTTTTTAGGAATTCTTTCCATTGATGTTGTGTCTTATATGCTTGATCAATGCTTCATGATACTGGAAGTCCCCAACTGTTCATTTATGCATTATCTTGTTGCATCATGGCTTTGTTTGCTTGAAAAAAAGCTAATCAATTGTCAAACGGTAAGATTATTTATTGAGTATTTAATTAATTGAATATTTATGAGTAGGTAGAAAAGGTTTCAGAGACATTGGCCAAATATTCTCTTAGTTTAACAGTTGCTGATTTTCAGGGAGTGGTATGAAATTATTTGTAATTATTTGTATTTAATTACATGTAGATTAAAGAAAAATATCTTGCAAACATTATGTCTAAAGTTGATGTTGTAAAACATGATCATAGTACAAAGAAGCAAGTGGGACGAAAAGTCACTAGTAGATCAATCAATTCACGTACCAGTTTCAATGACAGTGAGATTTCTGAGAGAGGGAGATCAGCGCTTGAAACTCCTGTAAGCCAACAAGACAAAAGACAGTAAGTATACAAACTAAATGCACATGTTATGTAATTTTAATGGGAAAAATAGGAAGGAGAAAAATGAAATTGAGGCAGTAAGTCATTGCGTGCATTTGTACATATTAATAACTGTAAAAATTTACAGGAAAAATTGAAATATGATACAGATATTGCAAAGCTTCAAGCAGAACTTGAATTGTTAAAAAAGGTGATTATTCAAATTTTGTAACATTGTGATTTTTGAATTAATAGGCAGTGCATGGACGAGTGTCTATTATAAAAAGAGCAGAGTCATCAATAGTTACAGAACCTCCTGAGTTACCTGCATCATTGCCTCCATTAAATAATACAAACGAAGTAGAGTTGGATCCTTACAATATAACAGAGTCAGATGTTGCTAATATGTGGCTTGGAATTATGAGAAGATTTACTGCTGCTAAATATTTAAGTATAGGACAGACTTAAATGGAACATTATTATTTTATTACTTTTAGTTTGCCATGGGACTGAAGAAGAAAAGAAGCAACTGCAAAATATATAGGTATATTTCTACTATAAGCAAAACTCTATACTAGCTGTTTCTTGTAATTATTGTTTTGTTAATGCTCCTATTATACCTATACCTTCCAACATAATTTATTTTAACATTTTTATTTTTATTATTAGATATATGTTTTTACACATGAAAAGGACATTATTAATTTTTTGTCATTCATTTTTAATATTGGCAACTAAATCACTTTATTAGAGTAATTTAGTTATTATTATTATTAGATTCTATGTTTTTCAGTGAAATTGTGCTCTATTTATTATTATTTTATTTGTTGACAATGTTGTACAACAAGATTTATATCTTTTTATGTAGTAACTAAAAATGTTTTTAGTGCCCTCAATGCTTGCTGCCACAGATAGTGTATATACCTGTGCATGCATGTGCTGCAACTTGGTATGTTGTTGTCACAACTAGTTATGTATAGACCCATATTGTATTCATGAAAAGGAAATTCTTAGACTTTTGTCACTGGAATAAGTATAGTGTTAAAAAGTTCACACAACTTAGCTAATTAAAATTCCAACTATATACTGTATAAATTTGTATAGTCAAACTTAAAAATTAACCGTCATTATTTCAATCCAGAACTGTTCACTAATTGTGATGTAAAATGGACAGTTGATCCTCTAAATTTTTGATTTATTTTCATTATAGATGTCTTGATGCTCACATTTCTTGTGAGAAATAAAATATCAGTTGCTGGGCACAGTGAAATGGCAAGTGTTAGGATAAAGTTAGCAGAAAGCTCTCCATTGTTTGAGACTGGAAATGCAGCAAGAATTATATTGAGATACATGACTAGTGCAACTGCTATAGTTATACTCAGCATTAAGCATAAGGTGAATGCCGATTTTCTTTGACGTTTTATTCTATCTAGGATGTTACTTTTAGCAATTTTTGTGCTATTAATAGTACCAAGTTCTATTTTCTTGACTTTTTTAGCTTTTATCCAAAGAGATATAAATAGTATAGTAGGCACTGCAGTCCCAATAAATAAGAGGATGCAGCTAATGCACAGAAAAGCTGTATTTTGATGGTCAATACTGCATAATGGATAGTTTATGATGAAAGTGAAATTATTTGTCGGGACCATTACAACAGCAAATATAATTGTCGTCATCCATGCTATTATGATCATTGTATTCAATACAGATTTTAGAATGTTTGGATACCTAAATGGAAAGAAGACTGTACAAAAGCAATGGGTGCTGTAAACTCCAACCATCACCCAGCGAAGTGAAAAACCAATTAGTTGAAATCCAGTCAAAATGTAACATGCAACATTTCCAAGTATCCATTCCTTTGCAAATGCTGTGATTGATATTGGTATTCCAAATGATAAAATTTGAATGATATTTCCAGCCAAAACTTGAGTTAAAACTCTTGTGACTGCTCCTTCTAGACTTTCCCTGTCATAGCACAAAACAACTAAAAGATAGACATTTAATGCCAATCCAGCCAGGCCACTTATGCTATTTGCAATACCAAACACTATCAGAATACCAGGATTAGCATCTTCAAGAGAGAATGAAGAATTATCTACTGACGAAAAGTTTTCTACAAAATCCATTGTAGGGTGCAAAAAATGATGATGGCAATTGTTTTTAAGCACTACTGCATTGAGGGATGCATGCATGTGTGATCACGTGTAACTAATTATGTAGGCGTGTCTTTTGTTTTGGCGGGGAAGCACAAGAAGACTGAAAAAGCTGAGTAAGCTTTAACGAGCACACATGTCGTCGAAGATCAGTAGAAAGAGAACCCGAGATAAGACTTCACCAATAACTAAGTTCTTTGGGAGGAGTAACATTGGCAGCATAAAACCATTAAAGAGGGAGAGAGCTAGTTCCCGCGAAAGGTCTCCCAAGCCAAAAGTGTTGATGGCTGAAGAGAAGAAGGCATGGTCATCTTCGTTGGTGCGTCCCAGCCTTGGGTCTGTCATGTTTATATCTGAAACAAGAGCCCAACAGTCAGGATTACCGGAACCAAAGAAACGACGCTGCTCGGTATTGACTAGTTTAGGCAGTGATGAGGAAATGATGGAAGATTTACCGTTAAATAAATCGGCTTTACCCGACCATTTACAGAGTCCGCCCTGTAGTAGCTCTGACAATAGCGACGATGATTTGAAGCCTGTCAATTTTGGGCCACCTGCTAAGAAATTATTGCTTGATTTAAACTCTGACGGATTACATGTAGTTGAAAATAAAGTCATAGTAAACGAGAATGGAGTTAATGATTATGAGAAAAAAGCGTCTATAGTGAATGATAAACTAAAGGATATCGCTATATGTTCTCCATCAGAGAGTTGTTTTAAGAATCCTATTAACACACTTTTACCTCCTCCACAGATGTCACTCAAAGAAGTGTTAAGTTCATGTGACTCAAGCTATGATGAAGCTCCTCCTTATGAAAGAGATTTGGAACTCTTGGTCATAGCAAATGGTCTTGTGCCACTTACCACATCACAGGTATGTGTGTCATTATTTTATGTAGGGCCTATTCACTATAGTGTTATTTGCTTTCTTTTGTTAAATACAATGTACAGTTGATTAGGAGAAAGTGGCTACAATGTTTTTATTAAAAGAAACAGTATGTAGTTTTTTTTATACGTGTTGGTTGTTTTAGGAATTGCATGTATACCCACACACTGTGTGGGTGAAAAGTTGGTCTATTTTTGTAAAATTTGCCGTATTACGTTTAGGTTGATGATGTTCACTTATTCAACACTGATCAAATGAGTAGACTTAATTTGCTGCTAACAGAGTTCTTCTCAGTCTCTATGCGTCTCAACGAGTCCATTGATTATGCGATGATGAACAACACTCCTTACTGTATGATACCAGGTGAATCCATGATTAAGCTATGGACAATAGTCACCGAAGTTAAGGTACATACATGTATTAATGTGAAAGGCTTATTTGATTGGTGTCAAGAATTTTAATGTTCTTTATGAAGTCAAAATGAACAGTGAACATAATTAGTTAATTGTGTGTAATTTTTAATGAAAAGAGCGTTTTGACTGCTTACATGTACATGTGCGTCCTTCACTGCCTTTCATATTAGGCTGATGCAGTGCCAGATGATCAAATGTATCATTTAGTAGTCGAGTATTTCCAGTCGCTAGTAACAACTCATCCACCAACCCAGAGCAGTGTAGTTCGTGAGCAGTATCTGCTATTCCTCCGAAGCATAAAGTCATCTTTTGTCTCCTTGCTAATGTAAGTCGACTACAATCGATTTGCGTTCTATACAATTATTTATAATAGTATCTTCTTTAATGACCTACTGTTAATTTTGTTGGTCAATTTGTTAAAAAAAATTTTACATGCTGCCCATGTTGAACAAAAATTTTGTCTAACAAAGTGCCCAGGCAAAATTTGATGGTTTTATCAACAAAACTTTTAAGCTATACTGTCCAAATTACTTTGTATGTACATGTACATGTGTATAACTTATTGTGTGCTTATGACAGAGTGACGGTATGTGATGCTTAAATTTAATTTTATTTATCTCTTGCAGACATGGCCAGATACAGAATCATGAGTACATACATGTACATGTACATTTTATGTGACATGCAATGTAACCTTCAATACTTTAGTACATGTATACCTACATGTATGCATATGCTCCTTACACAAGTCATTATTTTCATTACCATATTAAGTTATTTGTGAGTGTGTTACAATTAGTCGATTGTTCTTGTGGTTTTTAGTACTACAGTTTATTGTCCTACATGTAAGTTAAAGATGTTTCGATTTTGCATAGTACCGTGTTGATGACATTGAACTCAACCAAACCAGTGGCTACTGAATTAGTACTGTTGTATGTTAATAGATCTAATTCTTATACTTGCATGTATTATTTACATCAACTTAGAAAATGAATGTATTTCTGGATTGTACTTAAACTAAACCACGTACATGTACAGTACATTTATACAAAATGTGAGGTGACCCAACCTTCTTTGGTACTATTGATATGTTATTGCTCTAAATCCTTATTTGCTACGTGTAACTTTCAAAACACTACATGATTCCACACTACTAACAAGTAAGCTGCTAATGTAGTTTACAAACTATTATTGGCTAGTGGCTATGTTTACTATATACAGTACTGCTCAGCTATAAGTTTACTTACTTACCGACACGAGTGCAGCTTGTCTACTGCATGCACTAGTGAAGGTAGCGCCTGTATCATGTATTTATCATATACATCATGTACTTATCACGTTTTGTGGTGCACTAATGTAGTTATTGCACTAGTGTGGAATGCAGGTAATGCTGGATATCATTCGTGTAAACGAAAACTTATAGCTGAGCGGTACTGTATGTACACGTAGCTCCTTCCATGCTGGAATGCAATGTAGGATGTTCTATTTTATGGAGTTAGTGCAACGGGTGGAGTTGTGTATATTGTCAATTAACATACACATGTACTTGTACCGTATAGCTGGACATTTAGGAGGGAATTAAATTTGGCAAATTTGGTGTTTTGATAGCCATTTGCCAAAATAAAATCTACCATTTTGAGCCATTATACGTATGCTCAATGGCACATGGCCACAAATTTGCCAAATTAAAATTCTCCGATCCCCAAAATTTAGCAATTCGCCAAATTTAGCTACCTCCAAAAAATTTTGCTATACAGTAGCCTTAAGCATTACATACATGTTGTGAAGGTTCATGTACAGGATAAAAATATTCACATTATCTCCTTTACCCCATTATTACTCTTGTCTATTTTTAATAACGATATGTACAGTTTGACATCTCCCTTTGATTTCAATTGGAAGCCATCCATGGCCAATATTAACTCTTACCGATACATCAACATGTATGGTGCATGTATACATGGTGTTAGACACACAATATATTTACACTTTACCTTTGAAGCTAAGTGTTTTCTACATGTGCTTTTATTAGTGATGCACATGTTACATGTATGTGTCACTAAGTACTGTATACATGTACATGTACATGGTAATTTTCATGGTCTGTTAATTTTCATTATTTTTTATCGTAGCCTTAAATCTAAAAATTTAAACCACCTCTAATGCTATTCTATAATGTGTATAGACTATGGCCAAACACAAAAAAACATTATAACTTTAATAAATTAATTTTAAAGGGTAAAATTTTGTCCTTTTAAATTTTGGCATAATTTGGCCTGAGACACTGTACTATAGTATAGGGACTTTTACTCGATTTTGGAGCAACTTTAAAAATTCGTAAAAAAATCCATTTTTCATTGTAATCAGCTTAAACTTTCTACGCAACATAAGGACATGTATAGGTATCAGATAGAATTATAAAAATGGAAAATTCTCTCCTTTTCAATTTTGGCAAAATTTGACCCGAGGCCCTGTACTATAGTACAGGGACTTTTACTTGATTTTGAAGCAACTTTAAAAATTCGTAAAAAATTCATTTTTATTGTAATCAGCTTAAACTTTCTACACAACATAAGGACATGTATAGGTATCAGATAGAATTATAAAAATGGAAAAATCTCTCCTTTTCAATTTTGGCAAAATTTGACCCGAGACCCTGTACAGGGACTTTTACACCCAATTTTGAAGCAACTTTAAAATATACATGTACAATTAAAAAATATACACAATATACATCTGTACTAGGATGATTTGACTTTAAGTGGACCTAGTTCTGTGTGGCAATGATCATTAGCAATCCTTATTTTCTAATTTGTACTACTTCTAAGGATTTAACTTGCTTTAAAGGAGGCAAGAGAATTTTATTATTAATATTTTGTTTGCTACACTTACATTTATTAAAATAGTCTGAGCAGTGAGCACATTGTGTGATTACTATTATTATTATTATTATTATCATTATTTTTATTTCAATTATTTTTAGTTCAAAGGAAAAGTGGAAGGTTGAGTTATTGTCTGTTATTGTGAGTCTTCTTCTATCAGATTATTATCATCTTAAAAATAAAGAGTAAGGAAATATTAATTTTGAATATACACATACACACTCACAGACTCTTTTAGTCTATGATTTTTGTAACCAAACTTTTATAACTCAATTAATGCAAATTTTAAAACTTTGTTGACTTATATGTGTGCTTGAGTGTAGCATGGCTTCACGTACTGTTAAAAGTTTAAATGTAACTGTTAAAAAACAAAATTCCTCAAAATTTTGACCAAGAAAGATTCTGACTATACTGTATGTGTACATTTGTACTATTATGATGTGTTATCCCATTTTATTTACAAAACTATTGATAACATTAATGTTTTACATTACATGTATCTTATTATCATTCAGGTCTTCTTTGCCACTTTTTGTTCCTCTTTTCTGGAAAGAAGGCGTTAATCTTATTAATAGTGATATCAGAGGGTTAATACAAACTTCAGTTGATGTATATAAAACTCAAGATAGCTCCATTAAGGTATCTAGTTGTATATGTACTGCACGACAATTTTCATGTACATCCGTGTGTGGCTGTATTTTGCATAAATGATTTTGGATTTGCTTAAAAACACATGTACTGTACATGTACGTGTAGCTTTGCAGTTTGGTAGTTAGTCAAGCATGAATTCAATTACTGTATAGCGCTTTAATTTAGCGGAGATTTATTTTGGCGATTGGCAGTTTGCAAGCAGAATTGCCAATATTAAGACCGCCAATCATTAATGCGCATACTCAGTATTGCATGTGTACACAAAAAATTTCCAAAGTAAAAACCGCCAATTACAATTTTATAGCAAAATCACCAAAATAAAGCGCTATACGGTATTTTTGTGTTTTTTATGCATTCACAATTTGTAAAAATAAGTTCTCATGCTTACACGGTATTGTTATGTGGTTGTTGGGAATCAATACTTACCCGCGTATTTTGTATGGTTGGTAATTTTTCTGGAGCAAGAAATTTTGTTAATTTTGCAATGCATTTTTATCCATAAAATTTTAACCCCTACCACCCACTCATAAAAAACTAATTGACAGGGCAGAGATTTAACTACTATTTTCAAGCTAGTGGAGGAGCCAGAGTCTTTCTCTATTACATTATATTCCACTATAAGCCATGTATTGGAAGCTAGTGCTGTAGATCCAAGTGAAAAGAAGTTTACTAATTGCCAGCCACGAATATTTATACCCACAAATATTAGAATTTTTGGGAAAAATGCGAAATATTGGACCCTCGAAAATTACCAACAACACAGTCTGAATGTTACACACTTTTATTTTACTTTGTTTCATAGTCTCTACAGATGGACATATTGACCCAATTGTTCTTTCTCATTTATACCGAATGTGAAGACCTTAAATCAGATCTCTCCATCGCTTTCTCTTCCCTTTCACCTCACTCTCTTGTAACTGCTGTCTCATCTCTTCGACCTCTTAAACTCAGAGACTACATGTACACAAGGAATAGCATTACACTACCTGACTCATTCACACACCAGTCAATGGACATATATTTATTAATAAATTCAAGTGCCTCATAAATTTTGTTATTTTCCCCTAGATTGTTGTATGCTGTTCCACTTATTTACATGTGCCAGTATAGCTTTACAACATTTTTATTGAGTATTATTATTTCTTTTTATAATAGTATAGAGTTTCATTTGTGTTGCATTATTTAGTCGTAATAATTATTATCATTTAATCTCAAAGTAGATAAATTAGTATTACAGGATTTCAATATCTTCTACGTATTATATGGCATTGTCAATGTATAATAATGTCTACAATCATCTCTGACATCAAGGGGATTAAATTACATCAAGGGGGAAAATTTACTGAGCCATAATCATCAGTCTAGTACATAAAAGAAAGATATGATAATTTTTGCTTTAGAATATTATTATACACAGTTAAATTATTTTCCTTAAAAATTAATATTTTTTAATGCTTTAAAGTTACACTTAAATGAAGTAGCCTTAAACCAAAGTATTTCAGCAATATACTTTCTTTTTTAAGGATTGTATTGGATCCGAGTACAGATTTTACAATCATCAAGCAAGGCTAATAGGTTATTATTACTTAAAGCCACATAGTGGTATTTCAATAATTCAAAATTGAAAAATCAACATTATTTAGTATTTTGACAACATGACTAATAGAAATAACTCAACACAAAAGGTCATCAAAAAATAATTAGTTAGCGGTGTAATTAAGATTTCTGTCCTGATTTTTTTAAGTGTTTCTGATCTTATTCCACAAGTTTTTGATGACAGTAACTATCTCTGGCCTAAAGTACGATTGGATAATAGGATTTGATATTATAAAAGACCCATTAGCAACAACAGTACCAAGATGAACATTTGCTGGTAATTGATAGAACATACTAATAATACCAGTAATATATGATGGTAATAAAGCAATTACGTAGGATAGAAGCATATATCCAAATATACCAAACAGCCTCTTCCTTCTAGATTCATATACACTGCTGCCAACTATTTCAACCTGGTTCTGAATGAACCTACGAGTGAAACAAAATGTCCAAATGGACGTAAATGCTATTACAAAATAAATAATTGAATATACCACAACAAGATATAAGACATAAAAGAAGCCCGAGGCTTCATAACTTGGAGAACAAATTCCACTACGAGATTGATAACGATATACACCAAAACCATAGAATGGTGTAGTATTTATCAGTGAACACAGCAACCACACACCAATAATCAGGATCAGAGCTACTCGTGGTCTCATGAACCGCTTGTGAAGATAAGGCTTGACAACAAACAGAAACCGATCAAAAGATAGAGCAGCTAATGTTGCAACAATAATCATACCACCATTCCAAAACATGTAACCAAGAATCAAACATGATGCATTCTTTTCTTTAAAAGTGTTTCCAAAGATCCATTCTTCAGCTCCTACTGCAATAGAAGACATGAAATACCATAGAGCAATAATGAGGTTAGACAGTAGGAGAGAAGTGAAGAATATTGTTGATGGTTGATTCCAGGATTTCCTTTGATACAGTGTCATTAATAACACTGCTACATTAACTATTATACCAATGACTCCTTCAATACCAAGAACTGCTGCATAAGTAGTACTGTTGAGATCCCCCATTAGAACAAAGTCTGTTGAGTTCAGTGACATAGTGAATATCTACTCAACTATATCAAGAAAATAAACTTTAATTGTCACTGTGCAAATATTATGGAAGTAATCTCAAGTACCTGGAGCATATTTATACACAAAAGAAAAGGGGCAGTCCATTAGTGTTGTGTATAACAAGGGGAAGCAGGTTTGTCACAGTTTAATACACATTGCAATCATGGCACAAAAATATGGACTGCACTACCATACAAACCTAAAATAAGACTCACCCTGAGTAAACACTGATCACTAATGTACAAAAATTGATACAATAAGTAAGAAAGGCAAATAAATCATGATTCTAATTAAATTAATTGGAATTAATAAAGAGAAGCAATGCTATAAGTGGTAGACTAGGGTTAGCCACTTAATAATGCAATCAAATTAGTAATCAGATATACTATGGCATAGTGTCACATAGCTACAATCACAGTGTGCCATCAGTGCATTGAGACATACCACTTAATAATGCAACCAAGTATAATTAGATATACTATGGCATAGTGTCAGGTGTACTATCAGTATGATTCATACCACTTAATTGGTAATGCAATCAAATTAGTAATTAGATATACTATGGCATAGTGTCACATAGCTACAACCACAGTGTACCATCAGTGTATTGAGTCATGCACTGAGAATCATACAGCATGTGAAGGCTTGTTGGCAAGGTGGAGGCTTCATGTTAGAACCTTGCAATGACAGAAGTCACTGTTATATAGTAGGCAGGGGCGGATCTAGGGGGAGGTTGTGGGGTTGCAACACCCCCAAAACATTCTGAATAAAAAATTTTAAATGCTACAATAGTGGGTGAAGTTCAAAATGTTGCCCAAAATTAATGAGTCAAGCCTGATATCAGTACTGGTACAGCCCTGGCATTGCTGAATCATGAAAGTCACTCTGGCCTGATCCAATGCTTATCATGCCTGTATCACAGCCGTGGCTGACTCCATAATTGTATCAGGACTGATTGCCCAAAATCCATGGCCCATGCCTGATTTCAGGCAGAATTAGGCCTGATCAACGTGATTATATTTGGCTGTGTAGGTTATTATAACAACATTGCTGTGGTTAATGAATATAATTAACAAAAAAAGAGCTCCAAAAATGGTGGAAATGTGTATTAAAGTATCTATGATTTTACGTGATTTTAGCAACAAAATATACCACCGCAAAGGAAGTGTGGCCAAAATTGTGGTGCGCAATTTTGAGCACTTTTACTGAGTGCTATTATTTCTTTTTATAATAGAATGGAGTTTCATTTAACTGTGTTGCGTTATTTAGTCATAATAATAATAATATCATTTAATCATTGTTATTGTCAACTATCTTCGTTATCATCATCTTCCAGCTAAAAATAAAAGAAAATTGTGACTTCAGACTCAACTTGATAGATACTGCTGAGGTATTAAAAGTCAATAAGGATAGGTATGTGTAAATGCAGTAAAACAATTACAGCAATAGAGTTAGATCTAATCGCCCCAAATTTTACTCGTATTAGCCGAGGTGAATTTTCAAATAAAATTTACAAAGAAAATTAGCCGACTAACAGCAAAAATTTAGCAGTCAAAATCAACATAGGAGTTGGAAGCTCTACAACTGGATTCACATTTGTAATGAATATAGTAACATAGAATTTAATTCAATTATTCATTCTTACTTTTGGTACTTTTACATCAATATCTTCTCCGTATTGTATGGCATTGTCAATGTATAATAATAACGTCTCCAAAGACTCATCAACTCTGACATCAAGGGGATGAAAATTTACTAAGCCATGATCATCAATCTAGTATAAAATAAAAATCACATATTATTCACTATAGCTCACTAAAATTATGATTACACACAGTTAAAGTATAATGATAATGTTCTAAAGTTACATTTTACTACATTATTTCCTAAGGATGATATTGATTTCAAATACTGATCCAAAAAAGATTATTTTGTTTCTTAAATAGACATAATGGTATTTTAATATTTAAAAATCAACACTACTTAGTATTTTGACAACATGGCCAATAGAAACTAATATAGAATAACTAAACACAAAAGGTTATCACAAAATAATTAGTTAGCGATATAGTTAAGATTCCTGTCCGGGCTCCTTGAGGTGTTTCTGACTTTATTCCACAAGTTTTTGATGATAATAACTATCTCTGGCCTAAAATATGATTGAATGATAGGATTTGATATTATAAAAGACCCATAAGTAACAACAAAACCAAGACGGACACATGCTGGTAAGTAATAGAACATACTAATAGCACCATCAATATATGATGGCAATAAAGCAATAAGATAGGATATAAGCATATATCCAAAAATACCAAACAGCCTCTTCCTTCTAGATTGATATACATTATTGCCAACTATTTCAGCCTGGTCCTGCATGAACCTACGAGTGAAACAAAATGTCCAAACAGATGTGAAGATAATTATAAAATAAATAATTGAATATACCACAACAAGAAATAAGAGATAAAAGGAGCTCGAGGTTTCATAACATGGTGAGCAAAATCCACCAGGAGAATAATATCCATACACGCCAAAACCATAGAATGGTGTGGTATTTATCAATGAACACAGCAACCACACACCAATAATCAGGATCAGAGCTACTCGTGGTCTCATGAACCGCTTGTGAAGATGAGGCTTGACAATAAACAGAAACCGATCAAAAGATATAGCAGCTAATGTCATCATTGTAATGATTGAACAGTTCCAAATCAGATAAGCAACAACTAAACAAGTTGCATTCTTTTCTTCAAAAGTGTTTCCAAATATCCATTCTTCAGCTCCTACTGCAATAGAAGACATCAAAAACCATAGAGCAATAATGAGGTTAGACAGTAGGAGAGAAGTGAAGAATATTGTTGATGATTGGTTCCAGGATTTCCTTTGATACAGTGTCATTAATAACACTGCTACATTAGCTATTATACCAATGACTCCTTCAATACCAAGAGCTGCTGCATAAGTAGGACTGTTGATATCTCCAGTTAGAACAAAGTCTGTAGAGTTGAATGACATAGTGAGTATCTACTCAATAATATCAATAAATGAGCTTTAATTGTCACTGCACAAATATTATGGAAGTAGTCTCCCAGTATCTGGAGTATATTTATATACAAAGGAAAGGGGCAGTCCATTAGTGTAGTGTACAACAAGGGGAAGCAGGTTTGTCACAGTTTAACACACACATTGCAATCATGGCACAAAAATAAGGACTACACTACCATATAAGCCTGAATAAAAGCCCATCCTAAGTAAACACTGATCGCTAATCTACAGAAATGACAAAAAATTGATACAACAAGTAAGAAAGACAAAATAAATTATGATTCTAATTAAATAAATAAATAGAAACAATGTTGCAGTAGACTTGGGTGAGCCACTTAATAATGGAATCAATTAAATATACTATGGCATAGTGTCATATAGCCACAACAAGAGCACTAAAGTGCATACCCTTACCACAATTAGTGTATAACAGTTTTAACTGATTAAATGAAACTTAAGGTCTTTTTACACACGAACCTGTTCCAGAATTCGGCTCATCAATGCGCATCAAGTGATTCCACACTATCTTCAGGATCATGTATATTTTGATAGCATTTCTGATCCAGCTACCATTGGCTATCTATTGAATGCGCATTCAAACCACATATGGAGGTGGTTTGAGATATTGTGCATCAGGTGTGGAATGACTGGAACCAGTTCCAAATCAGTTCAATGCGCATTAGAAGTGCTAGTGTAGAAAGGCCTTTAGTGTCTCACTGCTGCATGCTTGCAAAGTAAAGGTGTTGCTGGAATGAAGGTGTGGCTCAGTCAAGCTATGCTACTCCACCCACACACACAGTAATGGGTGAAGTGATGAAAAAAGCTTTAGTTTTTCTCGACTTTTAAACAGTTTAGCATACATTAATTAGGCTCTATTTGTTGCATATAAACTTTTATTGAGTCCCTGATGCTTAAATACTCTGGCCGCTACTTCAGGAGAAGAGAGCCTCATGTAAACTCACAAGGTATGAATGTTTGAGCTATCATATCTTAAAAACGAAAATGATTGGAGCAGTTCCTTTCATATTATTGAAAGACAGGGTTTTTGTTTTATTTTTTATCTGTCCTGTTGCTCTTTTGCTCTAGCTACAAAAGAACTGCCAAAAACCGACTTCAAGCGAACACACAGACACAAACAGGATGACTGCTTTACTCTTACTTCCATGCCTACGTGTGGGCCAGTGTACCATCAGTGTAATGAGTCATACATGGCAATCAAGACACAGAAAAATCAAACAATTACCCTGGAGGTGGCGGGAATATCACTTACTATAATTACTGTTCTGGAAATTCTAAGAAATCAATTTCAAAAGGCTTATAATACTCCACACTGAATTACTATTGTTCCACTCTTTCAGCTATCATTCCACCTATAGATGGATCTCCTGTTGGTAAGCATCCCTTAGTGACAAGATTACTTCAAGGCCGGATGATCAAGACTTGTTTTAGAAAAGCTAGTGAGCAAGCATGTCTCTGATAACACATCAGTCTTTGATAACACATCGTCACTATCATAACTGAAGCCAAAATAGTTCTCACATAAACACAATGCATAACTATACAAACTAGTATGCAATACTATGCACTATCATTACTAGTTGACGGTCAGTTTAAATTCTCTTTGTTGGAACGTATTACAGCTGTTCGGACTGAAACACTAGGGCTTAGCTTCGCCCTCAGGTTTCAAATAGTTGTATGTAATCCCTACTGCTCCAAGGCTTACCAATATTTAGGATCTAAGTGTGGTATTATACTAATTATCTGAAGAAATGATTCCAGTACACTTACTCTCAGGGATCTATTGGCTCATGGCCCTATAGATGTGCAGAGCTTTACCTCATCGATATGAGGTTCCTGCTTTTAGGGAGACTCGTGCATATATGTTGATTCTGATTTGTGAGTTCAATGAAACTCAATGCTCGGGTCCCCATTGATAGTATTCTCTTAGTAGGCTTGTATCAATTACTCCCCTCTATTCAGCAAGGCTACAATAGAGGCCTATATCTCATAAACTCAGTCCCTTCATGGAAGGGTAATCTACTTTTTATCATGTACTGTAGTGAGTTCATGTCAACCAAACTGACAGTGTCAGTGCTACAAGATGCTAGTATTGGTACTGAGGTCAGTCTTCCAGTCCTGCTCTACCAGAAGAGCAGCAACATCAGCTGCAAAAGAGGTTTCTCCAGAAATCAGTGATATCATAAAAACTGCTGGGTGGTCATCATGGTCTTCCACCTTGAATCACTTTTTACCACAAGCCCATCCCTTTTCAGTTGGATTTCCATGTCATTGTAGTGAGCCTTTGAACTATACATTGACATATATTCACCTCAACATGATGTGGAATCCTTAATCCTCCAAGCATCTATGAAATATGACGTCAGATTGTGATCCCACTAATACATGACACCTTCACAATAATTATTAGCATGTTTTCACTATGGTGCTATCTTTTCACATCCAGGAGCACCAACCTTACAGGGAAATCTCTGTAATTAGATCAATCACCACCATACCATTATCAACAAAGTCCGGCATTAGCCTTTTCTCATAATGTATTCTATTTTGAATGTAAGTATATTTTTATACTTATCATTTTCCTTCAATAACCTGCCAAATTTTTGAACTGGTAGATGGGTCACATGAGCTAAGTTTTATTTATACTTTCAAAAATTGATGAAATACTAAACATGGTACTTTAATAATTTAAAATTAACAATCAATATTAGTTCATATTTTGACAACATAATACACTAAGACTGAATACATGACCAATCACAAAAAGGTTGTCACAAAGTAATACTGATCACTAGTTAGCAATATTATTAAGATTTCTGTCCTGATTCCTTGGGGTGCTTTTGATTTTATTCCACCAGTTTTTGACGATAACAACTATCTCTGGCCTAAAATATGATTGAATGATAGGATTT